CCCTTCTTCATCCAGCTCTACACCTTGTTATTTCAGATTCTCCAGCATCTGCAGTTTCTACTATCTCTGAAGTAATAGTAAACAGTAGTTTTCCCACTAGAGAATGGTGGACAGTGTTGGCCAAGTGCTGGGATTACTGCTTTTATCAGTATCTTTCTATTTCATTGTGGTTTGACCATTGGAATACAGAGAAAATGTTTAAAAATTATTGATGATATAAAACTTGAAGGTTTGGCAAATGGTGAAGATGATACCAATTGACTGCAGCAGGATGTAACTAATTTGACAAAATGAGGAGATGCATTGTAGATGTAATTTAGTACAGAGAAATGTGAGATAAGGTGTTTTGGCCGATAGGATAAGGAGAAGCTATACAGTAATAATGGCATTTAGGGTGCCCAACTTTGTGGAGTGCCCAGGAGTCTACTAAATGATGATATAAACTTAAAGTGGAATTGATAGCATTGTCATAGAGTAATCAAGGTCTACCGCACAGAAAAAGGTCCTTTGATCCATTGAGTCTGTGCCGATCAAAAACAACCCGCCTAACTATTCTAATCTCATTTTCTAGCACCTGGCTCTCAGTCTTTTATGCCTTAGCATCACAAGTGCATGTCTAAATGTTTCTTCAATGTTCTGAGGGTTTCCACCTTGATCACTCTTACAGACAGTGAGTTCCAGAATCCCACCAGCTTCCTCACACTCTCAGGAAAGACACTCATTATGAAAACGGTGTTTGGTGTTTAGGAAGTCTCCCGTCAGTAAATGTGACCAGGATTCAGGGTGGCACAGTGACAGAGAGTCAGCTCACCAGCAGAGACAGATCCAGGCCCAGCTGACAATGTCGTACTGCAGACTCAGATAAGGCACTAAATACTTCCAAATTCTGAAAATGGTATCTGAGAGGAATATGCAACTCTGGTCATTTATATTTTATGAATTGGCAGAAAATTAAAACAGTTAAATATTGATGTTTCAAACACAGTTTTTTTCAAGTACAATAGTCTGAGGCAAGGCAGACCTTTCTGTGGAAATTTCCTAATCCACCTGAACCGGGATGTTATTCCACATCACTGCAATAGGTGGGATTTGAATCTGGGCTTCCTAGGCCAGAGGCAGGGACATGAGCACTGCACCACAAGAGCCCCCATCCCCCTCCTCCCATCCCAGAGCTTGCTGTATCTACATTGAAATCGTTGTCAAGTAAAGGTGCCTGTTAGATGGCTTTTATCACAAATTGAGAGGGCTGTCTGAAGGTGTTGTAAAGTTTTGTATCCTATCGGATGCAATTATTGCTGAGTTCGATGTGCTTTAAACTCAGCACAGTGTACGGATTGCTTTATTGGTTTCCTTCTAACCTCAGGATGTTGAACACAATGTGTAAAACAATATCAGGTGGTTTTTGCTGGTGAGAGAAAGGAGAAAACGAACAGTAACATAAAGGGAAAAAGTCAGAATCAGGGAGAGTGGCCGAGGGAGCTGCTGATCTGACAGGGAAAGTGAGAAATTGGGCCAGTGAAGAAATTTGTCCACTTCCTCCTCAGCGCTGGCTCTTTATAACGTCCCCAGGATGTCTCCAGCTGGAGGTGGTAACACAAAAGGCACAATTTCAAAATATGTTCAGAAGCAGATGGAGTGACACACGGGCAGTGTGTGGTGGTGGGGTGTAGTGCGGGGTGATGGAGGCTATTGGGGGGATTGTTGGGGGGTGCTGATGGGGTGGTGCGGCGTGATGGGGTTGTGGTAGGGGTGTTAGGTGGTTGTGGTGGTTGATTGGGGGTGATTGGGGGTGATGGGGGTTGTGGGGGGTTGTGGGGGGTGATGGGGAGTTGTGAGGGAGTGATGGGGGTGTTATGGTGGTTGTGGGGAGTTGTAGGGGGTGATGGGAGTGATTGGGGGTGTGATGAGTGTTGGTGGGGTTGATTGGGGGGCAGGTGATGATGTACATGGATCTGTGAAGGTGGAAGAAGAGTGAACAGCAAAGTTAAAGTCAGGTCATCAATAGAGGGATTGAACACCAAAGGAGGGACATCATGCATATCATTTATAAAGCTCTAATAGGCCACAACTAATTATTTTGCCTAGTTGTGGTCACTACATTTCAGAAATGTAAGATGAGATTTGAGCATGGAAAGCCCGAAGATCATGAAGTAGGTCTTCTTTATTCCACTGGCTTCAGGTCATTTGAAGCATGAAGGAAATTGAAGTGAAATAGGGAAGACACATTGTTTACATAGAATGATGTCTGTGGTTTACATCTGGCTGAGAAAATCCTTTGTCTCCCCATGTGACCCCCTTCCCCAAAGTCAGCCTGTCCTCCAGAGAGAGAATCCATTTGACTGTCCTGTTTGCTGTCCTCCCTCACTGTTGCCTTTCGCTGCTGGAAGTCTCAGTACCAACTGTTCGAGCTGCCTTGCTGAGTGCCTCTGGCTTGAATCTTCAAGTCCGCGTCAGTGGCAACGTTCTCATCTTTTCTGTTTGCTCAGACCAGTAATGTATCAGGGTGATAGCCAGCATTTCCTCAAGAAGACTTTCTCAATCTCTTATCTGGTACATTCACAGAGATTCAGACTGTTTGGCCAGTTACCCACGCTGGAGCCTGGGAGGTCAGCTTCCCAAGGACTGTATGCTCAGCAGCATTTGCTGCTTCGGTTTTTGCATCTCGGCAGGTCATCCCTGCACCATTTTTCGGGAGAGCAGCAGGCCTCCTGACATTCAATGAGCCCTGTTGATTCACAACATACAGGTCATACATGTGACCTCACTTTACTTGACCCATCAAGCACCAGCACTTCATGTTCCACAAAACTGCTGAGTGAGCTGCTTGTCTCCTCCTCATTAAACTAAACCTCCGGCTTCAAGCAATTCCCCTCTGGGCTGCTTTCTGAGGCAGCTCTCCAGCTTTTAATTTAGTGGAATAGGTGTCGCCCTCTGTGTCCAGCCACTTGATGGCTATAAGTTCAGGGTTTGCGACAACCTGCATCTTATTCTGACCCTGAGATTCTGATTTTGGAGGAATGCCCCTAAGCTAATTGGACAGTCAATCTTGTCAGCGTTAGGACATAGAACATAGAACAGTACAGTACAGTACAGGCCCTTCGGCCCACGATGTTGTGCCGACCTATTATCCTACTAAGATCAATCTACCCTGCATACCCTACATTTTACTCTCCTCCATGTGCCTATCCAAGAGTCGCTTAAAAGTCTCTAAAGTATCTGACTCCACTACCACTGCTGGCAGCGCATTCCACATGCCCACCACTCTCTGTGTGAAGAACCTACCTCTGACATCTCCCCTATACCTTCCTCTAACCACCTTAAAACTATGCCCCCTCGTAATAGTCATTTCTGTAACAGTCATTGTATTCGTTCAATGTTTTGCTTCTCAGCATTTCTGTCTGTCATTCTCAAACACCTTGCTCAGCCCTTTATGATGCTTGGCTGTCAACACATTGACATGACCATCTAAGTCAGAAGGTTTGGTGAGTCCAAAGATATGGTCCACAGGAAGGACAGGGTTTCATCCAGAGAATAGCCTGTGGATGAGAGTGAGGTGCTATCTTGTGCTTAAGCATTTCCAGAAGATAGTCGGCTCACTTTAGTTTGCTCTCAGGCAGCAAAATACGCGGACAGTTGTGCAGAATACGATTTAATCATTCGAATTGTCCATTACCCTCTGGATGATGAGGTGGTGTAGCTCTTGGCAATGCCATTGATTTTGTAAAACTCCAGTAGGATCTTGCTCTTGAAGTTTTATCCCATATTACTGTGAATCCAATCTGGAAAACTGAAACAAACGGGCTAATCTCATACTACCACTCCGACTACAATGAATGCCTTTTGGTCACAGAATAGAATGGTCTGTATGAATTTATGAAGACATCTGTGAGTATGAGAACATGCTAAGTTGCATGACTACTGGGGTCAGGGTCGTAAAATCCATTGCAACGATTTCTAGAGGTTACTTTGTGGCCAGCAGTCCTGTGCTGGGATATGTGTTTTCCTGCTTTGGCTAAAGTATTTCTGTCAATTTGGACATAAATAATCTATATGAGCCACCATCCCAGGCCACTTCCAGCCCCTCAACAGTTTCCATCCCTGATTAGACTCCCTCATTCACTGATGGTGGGTTGATGTACGTTCGGCCTTCCGGGAATGGCACAGTCTGTTGATGTCTGCTGGGATCCATTATTAAAATACATGGCAAAGGTGAAACCACAAATGGCTGTCCTTATCTGGATCTGGTTTGGATCTTGCTTGTAAATGCAACTAAGACACTCCATTCGAATCCTAGTCCAAATCTTAGCCACAGCACGCTGTAGCCTGACAGGCTGTCTTCTGTGGTCAGCTTCCAACCAAGAACGTCACTGTTTCCATTGCATTTGCATAAACTGCAGTGGAGCTGGAATCGAAACTACACAGGTTCAGTGGCCCGTGGGATCTCTATTGCGCCAGGTTGGCACATGTTTGAAAATAGCTGAGTGGGTTGTTGTCTGGAAACACTTCAAATTCTACACAAATCGGAATGTCTTAGAATTCTCAAAAAGAGCTCACTTCAAAGCTAGCAATTTGAATTTCATACTCAGGTAATTGTCCATGTTCCTCTCGCTCATCTTTGAGGCTCTGACTGATATAAGCAATAATCATTCTTTTTCTACCCTTAGCCTTGAAGCAGGGCTGTTAACAGATTTAAGGGACCTGCATCTGTTTCCAGTATGAAAGGGAGATGGAAATCTGGGTAGTCAAAGACTAGTGATTGGACAAACTTCTGCTTGAGGCTATAAGAGCACTCTTGACGTACTGGAGTGCAACTGTCTGTGATGCTCTGATACATGTCTTATACACCACTTTCTAACTGCTGCTTCAGGATTCTCTGATCACCTCAGCAAAATATGAAGTGGTGTAGTCGACTGTTCATAGTATGCAAAAACCACTGAGAATAACCAGTTAGATCAACGAACTTACACAGTTTCCTCCCCATCTTGAACAGAGAGCAGTACTGCACTCCTTGGAGTTTTTCATCATCAGGAATTCTTGGCAATTGCTCAAACTCCACTGCTTGGTGCCGTCCCTCACGGTCACCACATGCTTCTGGAGCTTCCATTATAGGTAGGACATGAGAGTCTTTGAGTCAATGTCAAAGAGATTGACCAGAATGGGTTCCAGGGATGAGGGAACTCAGCTACAAGTTTCAATTGGACAAAACTGGAAATGTTCTCCTTGTGACAAAAATATTTTAGCAGAGATATGATAGACCTACACAGGGTTCTGACAGATTTAGATAAGGAGACACAAAAACTGTCCTCAATAGGTGATGGCACAATCATCAGGGAGGACAATTTTAACATGTTGGGTAAAAGATACAAGGTGGGATGGGGGTTGGGGTGGATACAAATGAGAGAAAGAGAATTTTTACACAGGGAGTTGTCATGACCTGAGTGGCCAATGAGAGCGGTGGAAGCTAAATGATTGATGATTTCAAAAGGAAATTGGTTGGAGACCTGAGGAAAATAAAATTGCAGAGGTACAGGGAGTAGATACGGCTATAGGATTGTCTGAATTGTTCTGTAGGGAATGAACAGGGACATGATGGGTCAAATGTTGACTTTTTGTGCCAGTATGGCTCTGAGATGGCAGGGCACTATGCCACGCTGTAGGTGTACTCTGTCTCTCCTCATAGCACACAATAAGCCCATCGTTAGCCATTAGTCAGTCATGCACTGCTTATCTAGTTTGTGTACTTCCTGTGGTGTTTCACATTATGTGCCTGTCCCTGAGACACCCCCACGTAGAGAAATAGCACTCAGGCCATTTCACTTACATCCGATTCACTCGCTTGTAAGTGTCTTTGCTTAAATTCATTCTTGTGGGATGTGGGCGTCGCTGGCTGGGCAACATTTATTGCCTGTTCCTAATTGCTCCTTGAGAAGGTGGTGGTGAGCTGCCTTATTGAACCGCTGTAGTCCTCCTGCTGTGGGTTGACCCACAATGCCATTAGGGAGGGAATTCCAGGATTTTGACCCAGTGACAGTGAAGGAATGGTGATATATTTCCAAGTCAGGGTGGTGAGTGGCTTGGAGGGGAACTTGCAGGGGGTGGTGTTCCCATGTATCTGCTGTTCTTGACCTTCTAGATGGAAATGGTCGTGGGTTTGGAGGGTACTGTCTAAGAATCTTTGGTGAATTTCTGCAGTGCATCTTGTAGATGGTACACTCTGAGTGTTGGTGGTGGAAGAAGTGGATATTTGTGGACGGGTTGCCAACCAAATGGACTGCTTTATCCTGGATGTTGTCTTGAGTTTTGTTGGAGCTGCACCTATCCATGCAAGTGGGGAGTAGATGGTGTACCTTGTAGATGGTGGACAGGCTTTGAGGAGTCAGGAGGTGAGTTACTCGCTGCAGTATTCCCAGCTTCTGACCTGCTCTTGTAACAACTATGTTTGTGCGATTGAGTTTCTGGTCAATGATAACCCCCAGGACATTGATAGTGGGAGTTCAATGATGGTAATACCATTGAATGAGAAGGGGTGGTGATTAGATTGTCTCTTATTGGAGATAGTCATAGCCTGGCATTTGTGTGGCGCGAATGTTACTTGCCACTTGTCAGCCCAAATTCTAATTTTACTTCTATTTCATTGAAAAAAAAAGAAAAACCCCAGCAAAATAAAACATCAGCACAAATGGTGATGGGCATGCTCAGAATATTGTCCCGATTTTTAACAAAGGATTTTGAAATGACTACGATTTGGACCTAACACTGACCTCCTGTGTAACAAAGAGATTGACAAAAGAGATCTCAATCATGATGTCACGTGTTTGTTGCCTGGACTAATAATGAGAAAGATTTGCGTGTTCAGATTTTTGACAAGAGATTAAACTAATTCTCGCCGACTGAAAAATGCTGTTTCAAATGATGTTCGGTTTGTTCTGTCTGCTGAACATCTTATTGAAATGCATCAATTCCAAACGTCCTTCCAGACCAGCGTGGGCCCGAGTTGGGCTGTAAGTATTTCAGGAGGATCTAGTTGAAATGAACCTGCCTTCTGCTCGCCAGTGGTGCCTGCCCTTTCTCCTCAGATCCACCTGTTTTGCAGTCATTGGTAGGACACAGATACCGGACTGGATCACAAGCCAGTACTTGGTTTTCAGGATACTGGGGCTTGTATCATTGCTGGTGTGTTTAATACTCCTTAAGAGAAGCTGGGGTTTCCACCAAAGGATGGTGAGTGAGTAAACTTTGGTTGGGAACTGAGTGGTAGAACTTTGTCCAGGCTGGTTTTGGCTGAGCTCACCATTATCGTCATGTAACTATGTAAGCATTAGGCAGCTGCTGGGGAAACTTGAAAATTGGGCCAAGTCAGTTTTTAGTGGGATATTTTCAGGGTTCATTGGAGAGCAGGATATGGGTTCCTAAAATTGGCCTTTTGTTTCCTGTTGTATATCAAATTGTCTTGTACCTGAGTTCTGCCAACATTTAATATTTCCATTTCTAGAATTGTGCCACAGCCACCATTGTAATTCGTTTGTTATCTTTTATCTCATCGCCATCATCCAGTCTTTTCCTGAATATTTTAATAGATGCTGGGGGGGTGTTGGGGGCACTTCTGGCAGGTCACTGGATCATTTTCAATGGTAAATATATAAAGTAAATGGCAATTATCCATTCATTTCACTTTGGAGGTCAATGCAGCCCCCAATGTAATGCTACAGTCGAAAAATAGAAAAGTCTTGCATTTATGTAGCACTTTGGATGCCTTCAGGATCTCTGAAAGCACTTTGTAGCTGAGGAATAGTTTTTGCAATTTACACACTGTTGTGATGTAGATGCGGGAGCTAACCTGTATGTAAGCAGATCTTCACAAACAAAAATTAACCAATAACCAGATAATATATTTGATTTATCAGTAGCGACGGTTCAGGGAATATTGCTGGCTCAACTCTATTCCTTAAAAACAGTGTCTTTTGCGTCAACACGTGAGGCTTAAGGCTTTCATCTGAGGGTGACATTTCAGAGCTTCCAAAGGAATGCATTGAAGTTTCAGCCTCAATGATGTACGTAGAGCCTGGGGGTGGGGAATGAGTCTATAACCTTCTTACTCAGACGCAGGAGCCTTAGTAGTGAGTCATGGCTCTGTGTTTCGAAGCTGCACAGCACGTGAGCAAACCTGGGAACAAACCTCTTGATTAATGTCCATTCAATTGCAATGGAGTGAAGTGTATGTGTGTCTCTGTGTGTGTGTGTGTCTGTGTGTGTGTGTGTCACTGTGTGTGTGTGTGTGTGTGTGTCACTGTGTGTCTGTGTGTGTGTGTGTGTGTGTGTGTGTGTGTGTGTCACTGTGTGTCTGTGTGTGTCTGTGTCTGTGTGTGTCACTGTGTGTTTGTGTCTGTCTCTGTGTCTGTGTCTCTGTGTGTGTCACTGTGTGTGTCTGTGTGTGTGTGTGTGTGTGTGTGTGTCTGTGTGTGTGTGTCTGTGTCTGTGTGTGTGTGTCTGTGTCTGTGTGTGTTTGTATCTGTGTGTCACTGTATGTCTGTATGTGTGTGTCTGTGTGTGTGTGTCTGTGTGTCTCTGTGTGTGTGTGTTTGTGTCTGTGTGTGTCACTGTGTGTCTGTGTCTCTGTGTGTGTGTGTCTGTGTGTGTGTGTTTGTGTCTTTGTGTCACTGTGTGTGTTTGTGTGTCTGTTTGTATCTGTGAGTCACTCTGTGTGTGTGTCCGTGTGTGTGTTTGTGCCTGTGTGTGTCACTGTGTGTATCTGTGTGTCACCGTGTGTATCTGTGTGTCACTGTGTGTGTTTGTGTGTCTGTGTTTGTGTCTCTGTGTGTGTCTGTGTTTGTGTTTGTGTGCGTGTGTGTCACTGTGTGTGTCTGTGTGTCACTGTGTGTGTCAGTTGTGTGTGTGTCTGTGTGTCATAAGGGAAAAGCAAGAGCAAAACTGGACATGAAAATTTCATGATGAATACAAGGGAGAAAATAAATAAAGTAGCATCCATTTCTAAACATTCCATGGTCAAAAGTAATTAAAATAAAAACTGGTTCTAGTGACACCACAAATTCTGGCCAGAATGGGGACTACTGGTTAATATTCCCCACTAATCACAGCTGGAAACTGTGATGCGAGATTTGATGAGGTTTGTTTTTATACCCTAATGATAAATCATGTAATTGGTATCAAGTAACCAGCCTCCTTTACTGCACTGTCCAGAAAAATAATGCTGCTTTTATCAGGAAACTTTGTCTGAATAGACTCTGTTTGCTAGAAGTCGTGACCCTTGTTGATGCCAATATCCACTTCTTAAATTCAAGTTTATTATTTGCATCTTCCAGCAGGGCAGCCTGAGTGTTGATTATTCAGATTCAGGCTCCGAGAACTTCATTTACCCTGACAATTCAGAAGATGTTCACTCAATTCTCTCCAGGATAGAACATTTCCTCAGGAAGATGGAGCGAGTCGGGAAGAAATTTCTAACAATGCACAACAGCAAAGCTCGCTGATTCTGCCATTGTAGCTTTTCCTCCTGCAGTAGCTGCTTCTCTCTGAATACTTCCCTAAAATGACATTTATGTATTATAAACACTTTATCAGCTTATGTGTTGCTTTCTGGGTATCCCCAACCCACAAGCCATCCCTTTGATTCCTGCGTGAAATAAACTGACTGAGCAGTGCAGCTGCAGGTTGGAAGGGGTGAGAATGGCGTAAAGGGTTGACCAAAAGGATCCAAAAGCCAGGCATATTCCCCGCAATAACCCAAGTCCAAAACATCCCGTACCGGCTTTGAGTGAGGATTCTTTGCTCACCTCAAACACGATCAGTGACCGTGCTGTGCTCATAGACTCTTCCAATGTTGGGCTGGCAGAATAGAAACAGACTCATCACACCACAAGAAAGCAGCTGACAGTTATCTTCTGCTCTTGAGGTTTGTGATCTTAAGCTTGAGAAAACTTTGGCTTATTCACAACTTGATTTTGTTTGGAAGAGCAGTCAAGCAGCTCATTGAATGTTATGGATTTGGGGTAAAACATAGAAATTAGGAGCAGAAGTAGGCCATTCAGCCCTTCAAACTTGTTCCACCATTCAATATGATCATGGCTGATCATCCAACTCAGTCCC